GAGAGAGAGAGAGAGAGAGAGAGAGAGAGAGAGAGAGAGAGAGAGAGAGATCCGATCTAACCTTGGAGGGTTGGTAGTGATGTTATCTCTCTCTCTTTCTCTCTTTCTCTCTCTCTCACAAACACACACACAAACACACACAGAGGTCCCTCACACACCCTCATCCCCTCCAAGGCAGCCACATTCCCTCACTAACCTACTTTTCAGCTCCGTTCTGGGGTGGGGGAAGAGAGAGAGAGAGAGGAAGAAAGAGAGACAGTATCTTGCGATCCCAAATAAAGAATGATCAATCGGTAGGAAAATGGGGTGGGGGATTTTCCTGCAGACCTTTTTGGGGGGGTTTTCCCAAGGACCACCAAAATTTTCTCGTGGACCACCAGATGAGGTGATCTTGGAGAAGGTAGGCCAAGGCAGTTAGCAAAGCAAGAATGAAGGCTGGGAAAGGAAAAAGATGTTAGAAAGAAATTTGACTTCTCCTGGGCGGTTGATGGTAGAATGGGGATGAAAGTGAAAATGTTATCAGACTTTCAAGATTCCATGATTACATCCTGCATGAATAAAGTGGAGTCCCCTTGGCTTCCTTGGGGAGTTCGTTTTTTCACCTGGCCTATCTTGAAGGGTTGACAGCAACATTGAGGGAAGACCACCAGGAAATCTTAACGGTGCAGATAAACATCTTGGGAGTAAACCATGGCAAAAACATTTCTGTCTTGCTGCAGGAATCAGGAATTCATCTGGACTGGAAAGAAAGTTGACTTTTTCTCCAGTGAGGCCAAGAACCACCAGTTCCCAGACTACAGATGGCCAATGTGTAAACTGATGAGAGGTCCTTGGTGCTCTCTGAGCTTGTCTTCTTACGGAGGTTTCATTACCCAAACTAGGACTGAGAAGAAGGACCAGCACTGATGATGTTTGGGTAACAAAACATCCTCAAGAAAACAAGCAAACCCAGGGAGCACCAAGGACCCCTCATGTCAACCCTGAGCTACAAAATATTCTCCTTTATTCATGTAAATTTAGCTGTTGGCACAGTGGCCAAACCATTCGCCAATCCATCAGCCCAGTTAAGGAGGAGGCGAAGATTGAAGCATGGACATATATAACGTCTTTGCCAACTTTGGACTGCTTTCACCAATCAGTTGCAATACTCTAAATTTGCAAACTACGTGTGCATTTTTTAAAAAAGTTTTCTTTCTCCTCCTTTTTTTTTTTTGCTATCTCCTCTTACACACACACACACATACACACAATTTTAGTTGTTGAGTTTTAGCTTCTTCTTGAGAGCAGGAGAGAGGCAGACGTGTTCCATGTTCCGTGTGTCCTTCTGCTTTTATGGCCTGGTGCCATTTCCATGCATTGTTTTCTTTATTGCTCCGGCTTTTACCCTCTGTGAAAGCTGCCCCCCTCCCCATCTTGCTCTGGACCCCCCCAATCCACCAACAGCTGTCCTGACACAAGCTGGAATCCGGGGACAAATGGAAACAGCTGAGAAGCCATCCTGCTGGGAAATATTTCACTCTTTGGCCAAAATGGCTCCAGCTCTGAAATTCTATGGGGTAGCCCCCTCCCCATCTCCCCCTCCCATCCTTTACAAAGAAATGTTTTAGAGGAGTTTCTGCATGCAGAGCCCACAGCCCGATATGTCGTAAACATTTCCCCAGAAATCTCAGGTGGGTCCCTTCAGCGCTCCATAAACAGGTGGCGTGATCCATCGAAAGCTACCAACTCTCCATTTTCTCCTGACAGCGACAGAAAAGGATGAAAAAAATTAGCAACTTGTTTAAAAAGCAAGACAGGAAG